TCACATTTCCTCTCACAGGCGTACCATGTCTTCCCCCTGTGAAATGCAAGTCAGCTTTTAACGTCAGCAATCAGATCTGCAGAGTGTACAAGTTTTCCAGCCTCCTCCCCAGACACAACCAGGCTAATCAGCTGGATTCAGTAAGGAGCAGTGATAAAAACCAGAAATGCACCAGAGGGTTAATTTTTAAATACAACAACTCTAATATGGGAACTGGTTTTTTTCTGCGGAAAGTTAAAAAAGAGAAAAAGTGAGGGAAAACTTACCTAGTTAAGTGTATATTATATCATACTGAGCTACTTTCAGAGCAACTTCTTGAGATTTTTCTGGCCTTAAGTCCTGGAGCAGCCCTTTAAATTCATAGCCTATATTCTTCCAAATTAACTGGTCTTTGCAGGCAAGCCCTCAGCTACCTTATTCTAAAATTCTAAGATAGACAAACCACTATCAACGCCAATGCCCAAGGGCCTAACTCAGTCAGCTTTTCACATTAAGGCATTATGCCCCGTCTGCATCAGACTTTTAAAATGTATCAGCTAATATGTGCTAATGACACACATTTAAACCCTAGTCTAGACAAAGCCTGTGTGATTGCCCTCTGAATGCTTGATGTGATCCGAACACCCTGACAGCAAATCTGATTACTCCATTTTAATCATGAAAGGCTACAAACATCTGAGAGTTACCCAAACCTACCCCATAGGGAAGAACAGGGCTGTGCATGGGATCTAAGCCTCAAAATATCCTCTTGGGGTGAGACCTTTGGCCTTGCACAAGCAAGCCTGTCAGTGGGGATAAAAAAGCCAGGCTTTAGCAGACAGAAATGTATCTATGCAGACGAATCTATTACACCGGGATGAAGAAAGCGACCGAACAGCAATTCACTTGTGTTACTGCTTTGACATTGGTGATCAGCTCACAGTCTGACAGGAATAGGAGGCAAAGAGTTGAATTTGAGCAGAGATGTGGCTGTGTGTCTGTATGCTATAAATGGATCAGTTTAATTCAAGTAACAGTTTTTCTCCACACATTTTAAAGCAAGTTTTGAAATATTGGAAAGGGTATTAAAAAAGAGGATGCAATGATTCGAGGAAGAGAAGATAAATGCTTTATTGCAAAACACTTAAAAACTCAATCTGTTTAGCTTATGAGAAAGAATACTGAGAAGTAAATAGACTACAATATATAAATATCTTCACGGAGAGAAAATATGCAGTACTAAAGGAGTATTTAATCCTGCAGAGAAAAGCAAACCTGGCTAGAGGAAGCCAGAAAAAATGAAGTTAGGAAGTTAGGATCCAATTTTGACAGCACTAATCTCTTCTAAGAAACTATCAAGTAAAAAATATCGTTTTAATCAGTTGATAACCTTGATTATGGCTGGATGCTTTTATGGCAGGTGTATTTTAATCCACCTTATGCTATTGGGATCACTACAGTGACTCCAATAGAATTAACAGTGACATGGCTAAGGCATGAGCAGTCCAAGGCAATGGTTTTTTAGGCTTCAGTGTTATGTGTATAAAAGTACATAAATTGGCAAGAAGTACTTACCAAACAGAAGTCTGAGCAAATGGTTGTGGTATGTCTGTTTTATGATTGCAGGAATGCTGTCTGCTAGGTTTAAAGGAATATAAACCTTTTTCCTCTTGCTGCCCTGCAAATATCCCCGTTGAAAGGGCATCTGACATTGGAGTGAGCTTATTAAATCTGAAAGGCACAGTGTTACCCAGTGTGAGGCAGAACACTTAATCAAAGGTACTCCTGAGCATATCTATTTGATTTTGCTTACAAATTCAATGTAATGGGTTTTTAAAGTCAGAGTATCTGTACCTTGTAAGCATAATTTACTGATCTGGCTGGTTTTTCAAGTTGACTTACTTGGTATTGAAACATTCAGTTTTAACTCAGTAAATATATAGTCAGTTTTTGCTGTCCAAGCAGTCACACACAGAACCAGAAAGAATTTGATGCTGTTTCTACTTTCTTTTTGAGGGAGAAGTTAGAGCAAAAGAGCTGCAGAACTTGGCAGGATAACCAGAGTGACAAGTCAAGGGACAACTTGTTCCTTTTCCTTTTCACAAGAAAGAAAAAAAATTATCATAAAAGCCTCACACTTTATGCTGAACACTGAGATGCATTTAAGTGGAAAAAATGGACATCAGTTCTACATCAGACCTGGATAATTACTGGTGCTAGAGGGACCAAAAGACTATCCAAATCCAACTCTCTTCTTTCCCTCCTCTCACAAAATCTCCTTCCCCAAATCAACTCGTATAATCCCAGAACATTTTTGTCATACTAACACTGACTGTCAAAGCCATTCTGATTTTAAATAAAACAATGCTTGCAAGAGCGGAATTTTTACTTAAACAAACCACCCAGAATGCTCTTACAACCAATTTTCTAGCTTTAGATTCCATAGCATTTGCTGCACATCATGTGTAGCTAAATGTAGCATAGCTTGATGCAGGATTTTCTCTAAATCTCAGTATAGCTGTTCCTTAAGTGAATGTGATGCTCTGGTAGTCCTGAACATGCAAGTTTTGCCCTAAACACACACACTTCAATAAACAATTGACTCCACTATGTATGAGGAGGCATTAAGAATTTCCTTTTCAGTGATGGGGATAATGCAGTCTTCATCAAACATGATCAAACATAAAACATCTCTTGTCGCAGAAAATGCAGCTTAACAGAGAGGTTACACTTGTCTTCCTTGAATGTGCAGGGTTAAATGCACATTTGTCCAGGAGGTTTTGCACAGTGTATCTCTTAATCCTTCTAGTGGGAGCCAGATACAGTGCAGTAAAAGGCTGGCCCCTCTAAGCTGATGAAAGTCACCCCTTGCACACATGAGTCCAAGACAGTTCAAAGCTGAAGGTGGTCTGAAAAGCTCTCCTGGGAGAACAGGAATTCAGGCCAACCTAACTTACAACTCAGTGCAAAATGCCCTCAGCATGTTTGGGCAGTTAGCAATCAAATCTTCTCCTGCTCCACCAGTCCCTGTTTGAGAAGAGGGGGCACTGCTATAACTCTCTTCCATAACTTGCAGTTGCATGCCAGGCTGTTGCTCAGTCTCATCTCTTGAGCTCATGGTTAGCCTGATGTCATACCTCTTCGGCCCTTTTTTTTTTTTTTTCCCACTACTGTTGTGAAGATCCTGCTAATTGCAACTGGCTTTGAGTCTTTGCTAAATGGCCATTGTCCTTCAACCTGACTCAGCTGCAGAAACTTGCTTTAGGTCTTGTGGGGACCTATAAGGAGCATCTAAATCAATTGCCTGACCACATCAGGGCTGACAAAAAGTTAAATCATGCCATTAAAGGCATTGTGCAAATGTCCTCAAACACTGAGAGCCTTGGGGCATTGATCACCTCTCTGGCCAAACACATTCCAGCGTTTGGCCACTACCTCAGTAAAGAAATGCTCCCTAATGTCCAATCTAGGTGGCTTTCCTGTATATAAAAAAATCCTATATCAAATCCTGTATCAAAAGTGGCTTTCTCATTATTAATCTCATTGTATTAACTGCAGACCTCCCATCTGGATATCCCAAGAGCCATCATAGGGACATTTCAGCACCTAAATGATGGAGCTCAACATTTTAATCCAATTTGCCCCAAAGTACACAAAGTCAAAGCTAGTTCTTGAGCCTGACCTCATACCCATTGAGGATCTCCCTGGATTTCAGGTTCTCAACTGATACATTACAATATTACAGGATGCCTACCTGCTACTGATACTCAAAGTTTAGATCTTTGGCAATATCTAAAAGCCAGATAAGGAGGTTCCCTTTTAGCTGATACTATACAAGGATGAAAAATGTACCAGTCTAAAGCTCTGATGGTCTAGACAGACAAGAAAACCTCATGAAGAATAGGAAGAAGAAAAATATATGCAAAACAAATATAGTGATTAGGTCACAAGGTTCTGTAAAAAAAAGTTTTCTGACTGTCTGGATTTGAAGTTGTCTTGTGAGAGAGACAATGATCTAAAGGGAAAAAAAGGAAGAAGGAAAAGGAAAGGAAGGACAGAATATAATAAAAAAGTATGACATGGAGTATGCTGAGGTGAAAGTTTTCTCACCCAGCCTAAGTGGCATCCATACACATTTATGTTACAGTACCTAAATACAAACTGTCAGACTTAACACATTTATGTCAGAATTATTCATGAAACAGAATGATCTCAAGAGAGGAAAGAGTTATTACTTGGATTAAACTAGTTAATTTTCATTAACATAACTGACATATAATTACTAGTTTCACCTGAGTAGCTTATCACAGGCTCTATAGCAACCATAATTGAGATGTACTTGATTTTTTAAATTTTGTGTGTACTGCCTGAAAGCATAATTTTTTTCCCATAATAGACCTGCTAAGCCTCTTTCTTTTCCCATTTTGTACACAATTAGAATTTCATTTAATATTTCTATATTCCAGGTAGATGCCAGAAGAGAAATAGATCTTAAAGTACCAATCACCAAAAGCCATGTTGGAGAGTTCCTTCACTACTAAATGCATTTGACACTAATTGCTGTTTATTGAAGGCCCTGAGTGAAACCTCACTCTGACATGTATCTGGAGACTCCCTGCATCTGTTCCAGTTTTCTCTATTTCCCACTGTTGGTGCCCCACTTCACAGGACCAGCTCTCTCGTGTCTGGCTCCTCTGCCTGCACAGGGGTGTGGCCAAGAGGGAGCTGCTGTTTCTTACCCACAGCAGCTCTTATCCAACACAACAATGAAAACGGGAAATTTGAACGTGTTCATTTTTCACCCATCTGCTTGTTGAAAAATAAAATCAAAGGTCCATGCTGCTACTTCTTCTACCAATATTTTAATCTTAGCTAATATTGCAAGCTCTTTTTTTATTTATAATTCAATTAACAAAGTTATCTGCAATTAATAGTTCAGGTAGGGGAAAGATGTTCCAGGAATCTCTTGCTGGATCAATTAAAATTCAATAACATCAGAAGAAATACTTATGCAAACAATATGGTAGAAGTCATATTTATTGATAAAAATTAATATATCTGCTATAAAATTTGTAACAGTAATGCAACTGAATATTTATTTTGATGCATAAACCTGAATGTTACATACCAAATACAATACAGTAACACTGGTTTCTTCCTTATTTACATGTTTATGAAAATTGATATGCAATCCATGTTAAAAGAACTTGTAATGGAGAATAGTTACATTAGAAAAATAATATTCTTGATAAAGCATTCTTGAGGACTCCAATCACATTTTCAGGCCTCTTTCAATAAGGCAAAAATCCCTGGTACAGCATATAACTTAATTTACAAAATACAATAACCTCAGACACATCTTCAAGTTTTCTTTTGGTATGCTTTTCCTCACTGTAAAATTACTCAATTCTCTTACTAAACAGAAAGAACTTTCTATAACAAAACTTGATGAGTTCTATTACATATCACATATAGATCGCTGTAGCTTAGCGACCATAACCGGGCAATCTTTCTCCTTAACTGTTTGCTCAATGAGCTTTTCTTAAATGTAGGACATGTAGTATTTTGAAATCATTATGACTGTGGTATCTTTCTTCAGTTTTCATAGGAAACAATCTGTCACATTTTGAAACTTTTTTTGAAATTTTATTTTATTTTAGGAACTGGTGCACAACTACATTTCCACTCACAAGAGAACGTCACAAATGTAACTAAAATTAGGCTTGGATAACTTTGAAAACATACTACTATGTGCCCAAACCCAAATTTCTTACTTTAATACTTTATAACCCTGCCATGCTCTAGGAATTCTTCTTCTGCATAGCTTCATTGCTAGTCACAGTCAGACAGTTTTAATTCCTTCAAAGGCACAAAACTTCCACCTCTTTTCCAGTGTTGCTCCTACACCAGTGAATTCTTGTTTAAACATGCGTGGCAGTCTCATCAAAAGCATTTCTATCTCATTTGCAGAGATCTAAGAAAGAAACAAAGGTAAAATTGAAGTGAGAAAGCTGTCCTGTAGCTTGTAAAGAGGAAACATTAAGAACAGATGTAATAGGGGTGTGGGGGGAGACAAATCCAGGCCATATGAAAACAGCCAACCATTTTTTTAACCTTAGCCTGATATGACTTTCCAGACTCCAAAGCAAGTGCAGATTCCTTGAAGGAATGATTTTGCTCTTGTAGATGCCTGTAAAGTATCCCCCTGTAAAGCAATGGCAAGCGCCATGCTGGGGTTGTGGCCACAGTGTGGTATGAAGTCCATCCAAAAACTACAGTCACAGGTGCTCTTGTGAGGATGAGGAAGCAGATGGGACCTTATTCTTCTTCTCAGCCTACGTGGTTCTGAATGCTTCTCCCAGTTCCCTCAGCTTTTCTCTTTCAAAAAGATTTTGATCAGCTCCCTGTTGTTGCTGAAGGCTGACTATCCATGGAGCCACCTTCCCTCGGTCTTACCCAGTTCAGCAGCCCCAGGTAACTAAGCAGTAAAGCTCCCAGTTCTGCATTGCTCAGGATGTTTTTATAATTTTGAAACCTTAATGACTGCTCACCTTCCTAATAGGCAAGATGCTCTCATTACAGGAAACACTTTCACAAAGGCAACCTTTCTGGTATAATCAGTAGGGAAGGCAAGAAATGAATAATCATGGAATCTGAGCCATTTTATCTTCTAAAGGGGTGATCATGAAAGGAACAGCAAAGAAATCTATGGGTGCTGCCTGTCATCCACAGGTATCTCCATGGTTTGAAAGGCTTATCTGGAAATAATGATATTTCTGCTTATTCATAGTAGTAGAAACCTTCCATGGAGAAACCTTTCCTTTTTAAAACAGTATATAAACATAAAATGTGCTAATTATACTTCACTGCACCCAAGGGGGGTAAGAAAATATCTATTGCCTCTTATTTTTCTGTAGAGGTTAGTGCAGCAGAAAGATTAAATGATTTGTTAAAGGTGGCACCAAAACTCAGTGTTGGAGGCAGTCAAAAGCCTCAGCGTGATCCAATCCATCTTTTAAGCACTCACATGGCAGTAGTGGGTGTTGGGTTACTTTTGTGCAATGTATACTGAGCCCTGAGCCCACACGGGTATGCTGACCTTATCATTCCTGTTCAGGCGAGGAATGACAGGCTAACCATGGAAAGTAATTGAAATTCATCTCTGAGATTGCATCTCTGGATCGCACTATTAAAAAGTAATTTGTTTCTACAAGCAGTTGCTTCCAAAATAAACCAACGAGGTCAAATTTTGCAGCTCGTGTTTATTATGCAGTAGGTAGGTCCAGAGGTAGCTGCAGAGATGGCAGACAATGCTCCTTCCTTGAGGGCTCTGTTTGCAAGCCAAGAGCTTGACCCTGGCAGCCTCACAGGAGCCCACATGTTACTCACATGAGTAAAAACTCAAGGGCAGAGCCCACAGCCATGTACAAGAATGGACCACAGCAGTGCAGGGTGAGAATGCTGAAGAGCTCACTAGGGAGAAGCAATGAGCAGCAGGGCTGGAGACCAGAGAGTCCATATTTTGGAATGATTGCTGTCATCACTCAAGAGATACAGAGCTGGAGAGGTCATCCAGGGAAAAAAGCAGTTGAAATTTAGACAAATGCCCTGTTAAGGAGGGACTTGAAAGATAACTGAGGAGATTGGGCAGACCGGGTGATGCAGGACAAGACTAAGCAAAGTGGACGTGTGGCAGGGACACAGAGAAGCAGAAGAATGGGTGGAGGTGTGAAGCTCTGGATTAATCAGGTCTTGATAAAATTTTTTTTTTATTTAAAAAAAAAAATTGAAATTCACCAGTTTCTCACCTCTTTCTCCCATCCCCATCCCCTACTCCCTTTTCATTGTGGGTGGCAGTGGGCTGTAAAGCACTAGCAAACCTGAGTTGCCATGGCCTGAAGGCAGTGCCTACCAAATTCATCATCCTTCCTCACTCATCAATGCAGCCTGTTGTAATTCCAGTGTGCTTCTAGTTCAGGATCTCCTCTGCTTTTAGCTCTACACTTTTTCATAGAAACAGAGGAAGGATCCAGGATCATCCAGAAGCATGAAGCAGCTCACCAAAGCAGTGAGAAGCCGATCTCAGCTATGGGCTGAAGGGGCTGCTCAGGAACAAAACATTACCAGGATCAAAGGAGATGTGTTGCAAGATCTGGAAAAGCACCATCACTCAAGTATTGCCAGACATGGGACAGAGCTACGGCTGGCACAGAGTGACCCCTGCATCTACTAAGCTGCTGCTTAGCACTTGGAGTACCATTCACCTCATCATTTCACACTTGAGCTTCTCACCTTCTGACTTGCTTAATATTCAGTGCAGAGAAATAGGCCTATTTGGGGGCTTGATTTCATCTCATTCTACAGCAGATATTAAAAAGTAAGTCAAGAATCTTATCCTACAGGTATTTATTGACTGTAGACTGTATGAACTGATGCATTAAACACTTTGCACAGTTTCATGTTGGCCTCGCTTTTGTCTTGGCCACAGCTTCACTGAAATTCATGCACCCAATTCCTTTATGTGGTTGTGTCTGCTCCCAAATGGAAACATAAGACATGAAACATGGTCCATTGCTGTGATCATAAAGGTTCAGTGTGACATACAACTTACAGCTTTTCAAAGAACAAAGGGCCATCTCCAAAAACTGCACAGTTTGATGGCCATGGCCACACCTGCCTCTTGTTCTGCTTTTTTTCTCCCCAGCTATATTTCAGAATCATGTGTCATAAAATCAACTGCTAGTCTTTGCTATTTAGAGCTCTGCTCTTCAGTGCCACAAAGGATAGCTGAGCAGTTTGAGGCAAAGACCTCAACACAAGCACGTGCACTGTAATTTGCAAATGAATAAAGACTGCAAACCCCCAAGCCCCATATCCCATTATCTTTCTAATGGAAATGCATGAAGAGTTTAACCTGCAGTAAAGAATAATACAATATTTCTAAAGAGAAAATAGATTTTGATTAATTTTTTTTTACCCTAGAGTCCAACTGCTGCATATAAGACCAAAGATACTCTATATTGGCTCCAAAAGGGTGGACGTGAAGAAATGTGGATATGATACCTGTATTAAAAACAAACAGACACAAAGTGTTAAAATAACTTCAGACATCGTATCATTAAAATAGGCAAAATAATTCTGAAGAGTCTGTTCTGAGGTTTTTCAGTATTAATTATGACTCTTATTTTCCTTGCACAACCCAATAAACATAACAAAACAGCACATTTTTAGTACAGTCATAGTAATGTGCTAAGTACAATAGCTCATCTTCAGGAATGACAGCAGTTAGCAAGTAAGTGACCAAGATAATATACTGATGAATAAAGGAATTTCTAAACAAAGCCTTGCTGGGAGCATTTCAACTACTAATTTTATGCTTGATTTACCAATACAAAATTGTGGATATTGTAATGGTAAAATTATTGTTTTTTTCCCCTTCACTGGATTCTCTGTTGTGAAAACGTTTCATACAATTGTGTCAGAACCCTCACTCCCTCAAATTTTTCTAGTAATTATGCAGATGCTGGTTATGAAAAGTATTTAATCCGTATTACCCCTAAATGCTGCTGAAGAAAACACAAGTGCTTTATGACATGTTTGCTTATTTACTTTTTCTTAAGAGAGAGCATGTTCTGTCTATCTTCATTGTTGTTTCAGGATGATTATAAAAGGTATGGGAATTAAAAATGGCTTAGAAGGAGTCAGGATCTAAGTCTAGAGGTCTTTTTTGCAGTGAAAATCAAGTGACAGTATTAATAATGATGACCAGAGAAAACAAGATTTGGGGCATCAGTATTGCTATTAAAAGCACTACCCAATTTCTCTTCTTCTAAGCAAACAGTGAAAATACAAAATGGCATGTGTGTTATTTGCTGTTTGGGGAGAGCTGAACTGTAAGAATCAGAACAAATATTTTCAACTCTCTTTGGATGGGCTTCTTAGCTGAACCACCCTAGGGGAAGTTTCTTATACTTAAATCACAAACACCAGGATTAAAAATGCTTACAAATGACAAAAATGGGTCACTGTATCTTGTGTACTGCAGGCCATACTGCTTTCTTGATGCTGAATGAATTAGGATAATCTTGGATTTCGTTTTTCCCTAAGTGCTGGCCGTGGTTGAAACTGATAAGCGATATTTAACGCATTTTAGACTGGCTTTGCAAAGCACACCTTTTTTCCTCCTCCACTTTTCAAACAGCATTTACAAACTTCTGGTCCTGCATATGAAGTGGCATATAATAAATTTTTTACTATGGCAAGTCCTAGCAGCAGTGACCTTCTTTGTGCTGTGGGTGACTAGAGGTAACCACACAAGAGCTCTAGAAGCAGAAGTCAAGACCATCACACTTGGATGAGATGACTGGAAATCCAATTTGTACTCAAATCACATTTTACCAGTGTCATTGCATCTGTTATATGGCTCCTGAGGCTTTTGAATTCAGGACATTCAAAACCAGCTCTTTCATATAATGTAAATAATAAGTAATTTGTCAATATTTTGTAATTATTGACTGGAGTTCCATGATAATTTTTTTTCTTTTATGCTCTTTTCCTCAAAGACAACACTGCATTTTTTAAAATACAGAAAAACTTAGTGAATGGATGGAGGCAAGGCCCATTATTCCCTTGCCATATCTGATCATGCCTCAGAGGAAGAGATAACATGAAATCCATCTTGAGGAATCTTTAATCCTCGGACTGTAACAGTGAGTCAGTTGTGGGGTATTATGACCAGTAATATCTTAACTGAGGTTATTCTGTTTATCTGAGTGTGCCACTGAACAGCAGATGTTCAGGACCCACTTTGGGACACTGCCACCATTCGTTACAGTCAGATATTGAGTGACCTAGAAAAAAAGTTTGTTATTCCGTTCTTTAAATCCCATTCTTGCTGTCTTTCTCACAGACTGAACTTCGAAAAGATCAAGTACTGCCCCTGCAATTAAAAGTTCTGGATCTAATTATAAAAAGCAGAATTCAATCAAGTCATACATTTCTGTATATTCCACTGTTTGCATCTCACTAATCACAGGGAGTTTGTGTACTAAGCACTTTAAACATTCAGATACATTCTTCACTTTTAAATGACCTCTTTGGTCTGAACTGAACTTGTGAACTGCTGAATCTGTGCCTCAGCAATAGGCCAGCAATCTTCCTGGTGCCTAGGTGATGAAAATGAGTTGCATTTAAACAAACTAAGGCAGTCTTGGAACTACTTTATCAGGGTACCACTGATTTGTGAAAAGACCAAACCAAAGAAATTAAACCTGTTCTTTCAGCTCAACATTTCTGTTGCTCTGCCACAGGGTATGCTTTGGAACTGTGGGCCTTCATGCTCCCTGAAAACCTACCCCACTGAAGCCAAATGCAAAATATATGTGGGTCTAAACATGGGGCATGTTCCCTCCAAGGGTGGCATGGGTACAGCCAGTTCTGTGTGGCTAAATGCCAGTTAGCTGGCCCACTGCCTATAAGCTTTAGGCACTATTTAAGAGTTTATTTTAAAAATTTTATTCTAGGTAAAGGGTATGACAGTCCTTGTGGTATTCTTTATAAATATTCATATTGCTAATTCCCTCACCTAATGTCAAAGGCATAAATCTGGCTTGCTTAATACATGTAGTAGATATATTTTTTGCTTGGTAGTTTACTAATATTATTTCCATCCCCTTCTCCTTCACCACTTTTTCTAATAAACATATAACAAGCTATACAACTCTGGCCTGCTAAATCTTGATGTAAATAAAGTCATCATACATTCATGCTGCAAGTCTAAATGCAGTATGAATATATGATGACTTTAGATTCTGCAATTTTCTTCATACCTGAAATCCTTTCATTAAAGTGCAGAAATTTTCAGAATGGCAAAGTTCAGTTGTATTTTAGGATTTTTTCTTACTAAAAGCCATTTTGAACCCAGAAAAAAAAAATTCTATTATTTTTTCTTTTTTACTTAGCACAAAGATGTGTGTAAACATATATGCAAGACAGAAACCTGTTAGAAGGCATTTTCTTCTCAAAAATCTTCTTTGGGGTTATCTTACCTATTAATAGTGCCTCTTTCTCTGATTTTAGACCTGGGCTTCGTTTCTCTGAGTTTTTTTCTCTGTCCTGGTTGACCAATGCTACTGTCAATACATTGATTTCCTATAAAGTTTAAAAAACAAACAGATGGTCATGTAGATTTCATTTATCTCAATTAAACTTGTCTGCTTCCTTTTAACTATATAAAAAAATCATTACTTTAATTCACATCTAAAGACAAGACAATTATAAATAATTGATTTGTTTGCAGAATATTAAGACATATTTTGAACAACCTTTATGCCAAGTGCTGCCAAGAAGAGAAATTTTGCTTGAGGAGTAAGTAATAACTTTGTTGCTAGTGGTTCTTCATTATAACAGCTGGAGAGATTGTGCCATAAAGTGTGGGAATGGTCAGAAAATTCACATTTTGTAGCTATTAAATCTGTAAACCAAGACTGCCTCCAGGGAACATGGATGGAGACATTCAGCTACAGCCATAAGAGTAAATTCAGCAGTTACTAACAACATTTCTAGCTACTAGAGCACAACCCTCTGCCCTGTTACACTCTTCAACCAGTGCCTGGCATCTGGCATGGCACTGGCCCATCCCAAACAGCTCTCAGGCATGTTTTGGGGGTCAGCACCCCCATTTCAGGAAGACCGCTCCTAACAGGTGGTTTGCATAAAGCCATCTTATTTTAAGGACTGAAAGAGCACCAACCTGAAGGGCAAAAAATTCAAGGCTCCCACTTGGAGCTCTTTTTTTTCTGGAATCAGGTGTCTTGAACCACCTAAATTTCATCTGAGAGATCCCATAGCAGATGCTCCATCAGAAGTAGCCAGGCAGTTGTGTGACTGGGCATAGATGAAGGAAATAAATTATTTCCAAGGCATGCAAGTGACCTCAGAGTGTATTGCATGATATTCAAGCATATCCATGGGCTGTTTCCATGGAGCAGCCAATGTGAAATGACTCGTTCCTTGGTGAGGCTGTGATTCACCCTGCTGCATCTGCTCTGGGAAATGCTCAGCAGGTCCATGCAAAACCTTGGAGGCAGAGAGCATGCTGCTGGAGACACGGTGCTGTGAGGTGGGACTGTGAAGGAGTGATGCTCTTGTTCTATTTGAGGGAGTCAAGGTAAGCTGCTGAAGGTTGTGTGGGACTGGGCAGCCTTAAATGCAAGAAAATATGTACTATTTGGTATGATGATGTGGCTCATTTAGGACATACCCATGGTGTGATGCCTTGCTCCAAAACTTTTGGCGAGGATTTTTGGCAATAGAAGAGGGACACCAGGTTTGGATTGCTTGGAGGCATTTTTGAAGGTGTGAATAATCCATGCTAAAAAAAGGCATAAACTCCAAAGTATGTCAAATGTGCCTCTTTATGGATGACTAAAGGCTTCACAGTCTGTGAAATTGGTAAAAAGAGCCACACACTTCCCCATTTTTAATTGAAAAAGAAAAAGAAACTACAAACAGCATAAGCCAAAACCCCTCGGTGACATGGTCTGTGCTCTTCATCGGCCTGCTCCAAGGGGAAGCTGCCTGGTGGCTCACATGAATCGTGGCTACCAGTGCTCCTTTGTGTCCCAAAGAAGAACAAGCAGCCATGTGTCAGCCAAGGAACTCTGTGTGCACATAAGTGATGTACACGCACATGTGCATCCCCAGCCCCAGAAACAAGGGGCTCTGACAGGCCCTGGCCTGCACCAAAGGAAGCGTGAGGTCCATTGGGTGATCCGGGCTTTGTCGCAGTTGTAATGGGCAGCTGAGGTGTTCCTCCTGGCCACAGATCAATGTGGAGTTGTGCACATGTCAGCCTTTGCTGGCTTTTTAGTTAGTAGAGATCAAATAACTTTTTAGTTGCGTGTTTTAGTTTTGGGAGTCTGCAGTTCAAGAGTTGGCAGTGATCCCCTCTGAAAACAAGGGTGCTCCTCGGGTGCTCTGGCAGCTCCATCACCTTGGCATTAACACTCCTGTAGTGTTGTAATGCACAAGGCACATTATAGCAGCAGCAGCATGCTTTAAATTGTCCAGCACTGTTGATTCCCCTCCTGACAGAGCCAAAGGCTAATGCAAATTCTGATCTCCTGCTGGCCATGACATCCAAAAGCAGTGAAAGGAAACCCCGTCAAGAAACTGAAACAAAAGGTGTTTACACGACTTTCTCCAAGAGGGCAGTAATGACAAGGGGGTTACAGATCAGAACAGAGCTGGATGACAGATTTTGTGATACTGGAGCAGAAAAGCAGAGCAGCAGATGCCACCAGAGCTTGTATAGGTTAAGATGCAACTTTGACTTCATCAGAGATGGAAAAGCAATCTAAAAATAGCAATTCCTGAGGGGGGAAGGTGGGAACAGAAAGATGTGTATTTGATATAACAGGCCCCAAACACAGCACACTCGCAGTTTCAGGTGGGATTAGAAGTTTTGTCAAGCAGTGATGCAGAGAAAGAAACTATAATCCCATTGGGAACAAGGAACAGATGGATTCTCATTTAATGCCTAGATTTGAGCCTGTGCAGAACGTTTTGTATGATTTATAGGACAGTGTAAATGGATGGTAAAGGAAGTCACATCAAGTCTTCCTTAGCTGTATGCTGGAACAGAGGATAAAAGAGTAAAATTTTTTTTATGGGGAAGCCTGAGGAAATGAGTGGCAAAGATAGATACCCAGCAAACCACTGGCTTTAGAAGAAAGTTGCAGGTTCTTGGAGGCTTTAAAATGAGAGGTTTCTGCCATTCGATGCTACCTGCCTCACAGAAGATAATAAATTAGATCACTCTGATGTATTCAGCTGCCAAAAGAAGTTTGCACAGGCCATGAGAAAATACAGGGTGTGCATAGTCACATAAAGTAAATCAGAATTCAGTAGCAATGCTGCTAGGAATTAATAGTGGTTTAAGAGAAATAGCATAATTGGGTCTAAAAAATGGGTGTGAAATTCACCCAGAAACTGAGCTAATTATAGTCTAAGTGAAAACCTTAAGAATCTGACAGCATACTGCAGATACAAATCTGGTACCTATGAAACCTTTACAATAAATCTTCATGAAGTTAATTTACACTTTTTTAGAGGCACTACTTATGTCAACCCACAGAAACAAGACTTTTAAGAGTACAAAGGTGAATGAGGCAATAAATAATTGGGAAAAAACAGTCAGGTCACCTCTGTGACGTGAGAAAAAGCTACTGATCACCAGATGCCTGAGGAAAATGATTTAATATGTACTGCATTACAGCATTTCCTTTCTTTCCTGGAGACCATTCTTTATTTGGCAAATTATATTTTCTGAGGCCCTAAGCAGTCTCCTTCAGCAGGTTTCATTATAAAAGGAATATTTTGCTACCATCTGTCAGTTACTGCATTAAAGGACAAGAACACAGCTGAGCATGTGCAAACTGGTACTTATTAGAAATGAAATGACCTTGCAAGAACTAAACACTGTGTGTGAAAAGCTTAATCCAGGTTAAATCACACCTGGAGATCATTAGGGACCTGGTCCTATTTATTATTCACAAATTGTGTCAGGCATTGGAAAACAAGGGGGACCAATTTGATGACAACAGCTCCAGAGCTGCTCAGTATGAATGCAACCATCCTGTGTGATGCTCTCACCATTGCCTGCTTGGAGCTTTTTCTTGCAAATGACACTTTAATCCATCAGCAGATGATGAAAAGACATGAATTTGCCTCATGGGATTGAAATCCCTATGGTTCATTAGAATATCCCTTGGGACCAACATTTTCATTCAGGGCTCCCTGCATTTGAACCAAGGAGGGACAAACAGACAGAAAGTCTTTCCGGAAAACTTTCAGGAGAACTTGCTGGAAGAAATGACAATTTTATCCAATGGACTATTAATGCCCACAAGCAGATCTCTGACACCACCATTGACACAGAGCTGATAGCTGTGGAGAGTCATACATGGCAGTTTTGCACTGCCTAGCTGTAAGGTGGGAGAGAAGTTTGCTTTTCATCATTCACTCAAGTATCTTGGCTTCTTTTGGAAGAGGCACAGGTAAATATATTGCTCCAAAAGTTGCCTGGTCTCACTGTCCAGAGAGAAGCTGTGTCTAACACTGGACACACAGCAAATGAGAGAGTGACTCTTAAGAGTAGTGCACTTGCCAAAGACACAGAGCTCCTGAAGAGTAGAAGAGAGGTGGTAAAATTCTACACAAAATAGAGATCCTATAAGAAAAAAAGGCTAGCTCTGCACTCCAGGGCTCTAGCAGATCAGGAAACTCCAGATATTTATGCTGGATGACTTGGGTCTTTTTCTCCTTTATTGGTTTCTTTTTTTCCCCTACGGAAAAGTAAGATATTAAATAAAAAGTTCTCAATCTAGATAGCATTAATCCTCTTCAGGTCAGTCTTAAACTAGTGCAAAAAAGGCAGACAATATAAAATATTTGTTCTTGCCTGAAAATACATGCTAGCCAGCATCCCTAAAAATGGGGGGACTGAGGACTTGATATTCCCCCTAACCACTGAGCAAGAGTTGAGCAGGGCTTGCACAGTAGCTGCCCCACCTGGAAACCCCTCTGGCCAGAGTGCACTTCTATACCATCTGTTGTCCAGGACTCTTCTTTGAAAGGCAGAATATAGGATTTAATGAACGTGACACTGAAGATACCTGACATGTGCCCAGGATGTGAAGACATTCAAAGAGATGAAATATTCCCTCCACTCTCTGGGTAATCCAAGTATTTGATAATTATCTTTGAATCTAGGGGGAATGATGACTGCTTGCATACTGTCTTCAAAGACCTCATTTCCTTTGTTGTAGTTTATAGAATTTTGAAGAATTGTGTGGTGAGGGATTAAAAATAATATTTTGTCTTCTGAAAGACCCAGTAAAAATCCCATAAACCTACCAGCCTCTGGAAAAGTTGGCATTTTTATTATATGTACAAAGCCAATTGTCTGTGGCATTAAAACAGTGGCAGAAAAAGGAAAGACTTGATGTTTGTCACAGCAGGCAAAACAGAGCAACTGCTGAATGTTGTTAGATGTAAGGGATACACAACTCTTTCTCATCAGCCAGGGGATTTATGACAGAAAATGAGTAGGAGGAGAAAAAAACCTATATATCTGAAACATAAGCAAA